AGTGGTAAAGTCGCTGAACACTGGTAGTTCGGTCCGAGGTTCGAATCCCGCGAACGGGCTGGCTGCATGGGTGTTTTCGTGGTTTTCCCCATGTGTAACGTGTATACGAGCCAGTTAGAAAGTCCTCCACGAAGGCATCCCCCTTAGGCAGATAGCCCTATTGTGCTTTGCCATAATTAAATACACACCTATTTGAGCACTCTGTTCTAGAAACTTATCTCGGTAATCCTCCGCTTCTTGAAAATCATCACTAAATAATTTTTCTCCATCTTCAGTCTGCAAAATCTGCTGTGAAATAGCACTCTGCCATACGTCAAGTCTCTGGAATTTATCACAAAGTTTACACTTCAAAATCGAAAGTATTTTTAAATCTCTTACTTCCTTAGTTAATTCACTTTTGGTTTTCATTGAGGTTTGAGAAAATGCTATTCTAAGTCCTCTTCTTTGAGCCTTTAAAGCGATTAAATTCATCTTCAAAGTATATTCAAAATCGAAGTTCAAAATCAAAAGTTCAATCGGAAAATTTCAATTCATTGCACCCGGTCCCGCCGAGGGTTCCACTATGTTGCGAAGAACACAAAAAATATATCAATCAAATATATTCAAAACAGTTCATTCAGTTGCGGGCTTCCTCTACCCGAGGCTGGGTGCGTTATGAATAAAGACAAAAAATTCTTAATAAGCCATTCTTTATTTTCATCAAAACAGTCTTTCTCTTCCAAGATCAGCTTTCGTTCCTTCTACAAGCAAAACATTCGAAACACTCGGCATGCAGGCTGACGTACGTCACGAACAGCGCCTCGCGCCAGTTATTACTTTAGTTCATTTCACAACACTATGGCTCACACAAATTCAGTTGAGAATCTGGGGAGTTCCATTGAAAGATCTATGCATGGCTAGGCTTCATGTGATTTCATTTAAGACCAAAATGTCTGATAAATCTGTCACAGATTTGAGATATTTTAGCAGATAAATACAAATAGAAATGCGTGTGAATGAAAATATGATATTAGATGCTGGTGTGGTTGTTGAAATTGATGGAAATAAGCTTGTAAATCAAAAATTTCTGAATGATTAAAGAGTGAATGGAGTCTGGGTGTTTGGAGGTAATGAAACATCATGTGATTTTTGTTCTCCATCTGATGAAGTTATGAAGAAGAACATAAAGCAGAATCTATAATTGTCTGACACTGCTGGAGAGCACGTTATTGTCTTCCAGTGAGTCACAGTGTGACATTTAAGGATTCTGTTTCTATGGCTCACACAAATTCAGTTGAGAATCTGGGGAGTTCCATTGAGAGATCTATGCATGGCTAGGCTTTATGTGATTTCATTTCTTTTAAGACCAACATGTCTGACAAATATGTCACAGATTTGAGAAATTTTTGCAGGGAAATATATGTAGAAATGCAGGTGAGATATGACATTAGGTGTTGGTGTGATTGTTGAAAGCAAAAATTTCCGAATGATGAATGGAGCTTGGTATTTAGAGACACTGAAAGAGAGAATGACTTCCACACCCTTATTGAAGTTATGATGTGAAATTTAAAGATGGGCCCTATAATTGCCTGTGCTAGAAGGCACATTGTGTTCTTATAGTGTGTCATTTAAGGTGACACTTCGTATAGTGTGCCTATTTCTAGGACTCTCACTACTCCGTTGAGAATGTGGAATGCTTCTAGGAGAAATATGTCATGGGTAGGAAGAACTTTCGCAGAGAAGTGTATGTAGAAATGTATATGCATAAAAATAATATGATTATAGAGTTATTCGTGTAACTGTTGAAATTAGTGGAAGCACAATCGGAAAGTGGAAATTTAATCATGATAAAAGATTGAATAGAATCTACGTTTAGAGGCACTGAAAGAAGCTGCAACACTTTTTTCTTCTTTAGAATTTATTGGCATAAACTGAGGGGGATGTTGAGCTAAAACACATTTGATTAACTAGTCTGTTATTTGTACATTTTCATAAGTATAAATGGCATGTTCCTGTGTCCAAAAACTTAAAATGACAGAATTTCCATTATATATTTTAAGAAATTGTTTTTTTTTACTTAAAACAAGAATGGTTTTTTAAAGAAATAAAGCATGCAACAATATGTGTATAAAAATGAAATTATGTTATTCATTATTAACAAATTTTGTAAAGGTCTGGCTTTATGCAAATAAATTTGTAAAATATATAAATTAAATTCAAGTAAATCAAATGTTTAAAGAAACACGCATAAATTAGAAAATTAAACATGATCCTGAATGACATGATTTCAATGAAATAATTAGAATATATGCAATTTTATTATAATTATATTTGTTCAATTAATGCAATTCCATCATAAAATACATGATTTTGAGATAAAATCTCTCCCCTCTAAATGCAATCTGTTTAGATAAAGAAAGCATTAACCTGAACCTAAATTATTTAAAATTTAAAAATTGCATGCTGTGGATTATGGATGTCTGTCTGAATTAAAGACTTTGTACTGTATTTTGAAAATATCATTTACAGTTGCTCTGTAATGAATACATTCTTAAAATAAATACTCTTCGGCAATTCATTTATCTTATTTAAACTAATAATTGAATAGAGTACGTTATATCAGTATTTTCATCTAACTTTAATGCAAAATACTTGCTGTGTTTTATTTTCCGAACAAGTGTCTTTGGTATGAATTTGCCATTTCATGAATTCATCAACTTACTAGATCATTTGATAACGTGATATTATTAAGTTCATTAGCTCCTTTTTCGTTTAATAATGTTAAAACGATATCTTTAGCTGCTGGTAATGTAAGGTTTTCTCCAATAGTGTGAACCTGCCCCAGTCTTGGCAATTCTTAGGCTTACTAGGCAACTAAGTTCCAAAGCTAAGTATTTTAGGAATTCTCCAAAGAATGATTTTTTAAAATTCTGTTCCTATTAACGTTACACTACAAATCCTCAGCCAGATGGAAGAACCAGCAAGATTGCTTATTTAAATCCATTGAAGGTGGTAGGGCTGGAAGAGTGGCAGGGGCTGAGTCCCCTTGTTAGTAGGGATGTCATTAATGTTACGAATACGATTATTGTTAGTTGATTTTCCTATGAAATATTTATAGTTTCTGAAAGTTAAGAAAATTTTGGAAGCAGCATTTCATTCAGTGGGTATGTCTCAGTAGGTATCAGTGGTCAGTCTCATATGTGGCACTTTGTTAATAATGATATGGACAGCTTTGGACTTTTTGTACTTAATTTTTGGGAGGAAGAAAATGTAAATGAATGTAATGCAAAGAAATGTATGAAATGTTAGATATTGTAATTTATAATCTCTTAAATTTAAAAATACCAAAATAAAAGTATTTGGGTCAATTAAAACATTTTTGTAACTGGAAGTATGTATATCTGTGATAAACAGACAAACAGTTGTGCAGGTAAAGGCCAGGGAAGGAATTTTGCTGGATTTGTCTTATCAAAAATGCTGACAGAACATATCAAAAACGCTGAGATACATGACTATTATCTAGTTAATCACATCCAAAATGAACACCTCCATCTGATGGGCGAAGTGGTTCTCAAGAAAATAATTGCAGACGCTCACACTATCAAATATGTCTCCATCATGGTAGATTATACTCCTGATGCAAACTATCAGGAGCAAATGACTATGATAATATGAATTGCCAATGTTTATGTGACAAAAATTGTGATTTGTAGGCTTTTTGGCAGTAGGTAGTAGCACAGGTTTGACAGAAGCATGCTTGAAAAAGCTTGATGAACTAAATTTGCTGCAGAAAATACAAAACTGCAGAGGGCAAGGATTTGATAATGGATCCAATACGAGAGGACAGAACAGTGGCAAACAAAAACGCATACTTCAGCTAAATCCGAAAGCGTTTTACCTTCCATGCGGTTCTCATGGCTTAATGTTCGGAGATATGGTGAAATCTTCGACTACTACTATCGACCTTTTTTTTGGATTTTTTGCTGTTTGCTGCATCAACTCAGTTATGGTATTTGCTCAAGCGATATGTTAAATTGTTTACAGTGAAGCCAACCTCAGAAACATGGTGCGAATGTCGAAGAGATTTTGTTAAATCTGTGAGGTTTCAGATAGAATTGATTTATGGTGCATTATTAATTGAGGTCTCCGAGAGAAACTACCCAAAGGTAACAATGAAGGCTGCCAGTTTGGCAAACCAAATTAAACGCTACCCTTTCTGGGTATTGTTAGTAATAGGGTACGATCTCTTGGAGAAAGTTAATATTGTGAGCAAAATGTAGCAAAGTAAGGCTATGTAATTTAATGTCACTTTGAATTGTATTCAGAACACAATCAACTTCCTAAAATCCTTCAAAGAAACAGGTTTTAATTTGGCCAAAGATGCAGCTAAAGAGTTAGCTACAGAACTTGAGATGGACGAGGGCGAAATAATGTTTTCAACAGCTCAGATTGCAGGACTATATGAAACTTGTCATAATGGGATGAAAGCCCATTATGACAAGTTTGGTTTCTTGCTCAATTTCCGATGCATTACGGGAATGAGCGAAACTGACCTGTGATGTTCTGAGCGTTATCTTAACAGATAAAATTACTGGGTCGGATGTTGATGCTCATGATTTATGTGCTGAATTGGGCAACTTAACAGGTTTAGTGCAACAAAGTACTGCTGCTTTTAAAAATCTGCAGTTCATTAAATTCTTTCCCAAACGTCTGTTGCATTCCTTATAGCTTTGACATTTCCAGTAACTGTCGCGTCTGCTGAGCGAAGCTTTTCAAAGCTCAAGCTGATTATGAGTGACCAGCAAACAAGCATGATGCAACAGCGATTGAGCACACAAGCATGACGCAAGAGCGTTAATATCAATTGAGGTACAAAATCTCATGATACTGAGGAATACAGTTGTTTGGTAGGAAGTTTGATATTACCCTTAATGTTACTAACAGAGGCTGTTTGAAGTCTTTAACATGAATTTGCAATATTTTTTACAAATATTCCAAATTTGTCATAGTTTAAAGCATTGGCTTTCTTTTTCTGTTAACACAATATGTGAAGTTGATGAAAATAATTCATTCACGTCATGTTCGTTTTTGTTCTTTTACTGCTTGTAGTTGAAACGTATTAACTTATTTTTAATGATCAGCAAACAAATGCTTTTAGATAAATGTGAAAACAATTATATCGAGAAAATTATTTCTGTACACTGATAAATGTACAGAAGTACAACAAAGTTTATAAATTAGAGGATGAATGTTGATCAGTATTTAATAACTGATACATGATCAGAAAATTGCATTTTGAATTTTTATTTTAGATGCCAAGACAAGAACGAAGTTCGTATGCAGGAGGAGGACAATGATGCGGAAACGTTTGCATTCCAAGCTGAGATAGGCTACTCATTGAGCATCATCATCAACACCTTCTATTCCAATAAAGAAATCTTTCTTCGAGAACTGATTTCAAACTCATTGAATGTAAGTAATTCTGTTGTATATTTAACGTGTTGTAACATGTTAAGATTGCAAACTAAATGAGGTACTATACAAAGTCAAGAAATAATGGAGGACCCTTGTGACCATCATTTGATTTCGTTGCAAAAATTTTTATTGGTCATAGATTGTTTCAGTTTTACCGAGGGCCTCAATAATTTTGTTAGCATGACTGCTGCTAGAGTAATATAGTACATCTTAACTACCAAGTTTATGGCTTAAAATTAGTTCATTTGGATGACATAAGTAAATATAATGTGATGTAAAAACTAGCATCTGAATTAAAGATATCAATTTTTTATTTAGGCACTTGACAAAACCAGGTGTGAATGTCTCACAGATCCTAGCCAACTGGACCTGTAAAGAGTTAAAATCATTCCGAACGAGGAGGATAGAACCTTGGCCATCATTGACACCGGTATTGGTGTAAGCATTGCAGATTTGGTAAACTTGGTGATTTGGTAAACAACAGATGTCTTATTTTTTAATTTTTTATCAAGGAAAATATTTTCCTATTATAAAATTGCAAGTAATTGTATTCTGAAAAGTGCATTGAACTCTGCTTAATTATTGATTTCCATACACCAAATGATGCAAATTTTTTTATGAACAAAAATGCTAATTGTGAAAATGGACAACCATAATGATAACGATAGTTTTCAAAATATAGAATTTATTCATCATTGGTTTTTATTAACATTGAACATTTGTACATATATTTAGCTACTAATCCATTTTTAATCCTTTTAGGTGCATTCTGATCAAAAATCAAAGATTATAAATACCTGAGTAAATTGGTTCATGAAATGCATGAATAAAATAAAATAATAATGCTTAATTAAGCATGAACAAAAGTAAGAAATTATCACCTGATGGCAATAAATTGGTGAAGCTCAGCTCAGTTTTACTGTTGTTACAGTAAGCACCACAGATGTTAACAAGTATTTTACATGGAAGTTTGGAATTCTTTGGCCCACAGAAGACATTTCTCCACTATCCAGCAGGAATGGACTAGAATCTGCAATCATTAGCATTATTATTGAGGAAAATTTTGGAAGTTCCTATGAAATCCAGACTGAGGAGAAAATTAATACAGACAATAATTCTGCCCTCTAAAAATTAATCTTTTGCTATTTTTACCCAATAAAAGATATTGGTATTGAGGATCCCCTTCCAATTCTATTCCAAATGCTTGTTACATTCATTAATTTATCCTGAATTTTAGAGATTTGTCTGTTTGTCCTGTGTATGATTATGTGATGTTTCAAAGATCTCTTTAAATAAGTAGAACAGATAATTGTCGTTCACATGCAGGAGGGGGAACACAAATCATGAACTTTATGGTATGTATTAATAAGAATAAAATAACTTGTAAGAATATTGTATTTCATTGTTCATGAAACTGCAGCCACAGTGAATTCGTGCAGTGGCTTGCACTTCTTTTTAAATATTTAGGTTTACTTCTTTTTGCTAAACAGCCCTAGAAAATGTTAAAAGAAATAAATGATTTATTTTTCAACACATATAATATTGCTTATTTCTGTCACATACTGCTTATTGTTATAAATAATAAAAGAATTTTTTAAGTTGTATAATTTATTAAAGATATAACTTAAATGTTTGGGCATTGGAGGCTGCATTTTACGTTTAAGAAGAATGTACAAATAAAGGACTAATTAATTGAATATATTTTAGCTAAAATTGCACTTTAATGTATGCTCTGGCATGAGGTTCAATTTTTCTACCCATTGAAAATTACTTTTCAAGAGTTATATTCTTTCCTTATTCTGTTTTGCAACTCATTTTACATGTTGGGCAACTCATTTAAGTGCACAGAATATGGAGGAATTTTGCCAACATGTGTGCAGTTCTTCTATATATGCAATTCTATAAATGAGCACATAGAACTTTTATTTGGATATTTAACCTGGAAGAATTTTTTTATTTGAGTTAATGTGCAGTTATTTTTAGGTCTTAGGTCATTAGGAAACTTTTGTATTTTCATATTCTTATTCATATTTGTATGTTCATATATGTTGTATATTCATTTAGGAAACTTTTGTATTTTGTATATCCATAGTGTTTGTTAGGAAAATTTTAAGTTTTTTAATTTGGAGGCAGTAAAAGATACCCAAACTATTATGCCTCCACCATTCGGTAGCAAAAGTATCTTTGTTGAATCTGAATGTGTTAAATATTGAGGAATTTGTAGATATTGCATAATGCATACCATTTTGAATTTGTTTTGCTGCAGCATCATACAGGTTCTGGTACATTAGAAAGTTCAAGACCTGCATTTGTCATAACTTCAGGCATTCTAGATTTGAGATTTTTCTCGATATTACATCATCAGTTTAAATCTGATATGATGACATGTAGGAATTATAAAACTGAAAATATGAAATAATCTAAAAATTTAGTGACCGAGTAAGAGTGAATAATGAGTGTTGTCTAGTAGTCATCGACGACTGTAAAACGTGTTTTGGAGCTGTCCTGACATTATTGGCAAATAAAGTGTTTCAATATTCAATCTCCAAAATCCTCATGAACCCGTACGAACATGAAGGAAGAAAATAAAGCAACAACTGGTGTCGGAAGAATAAAAAAAAGTAACAATATGACCTTAAGAGCACAAAAAGATGCTTTATTAAATTAAAATTTTTATGCGTGTTTTGCATAAAAATACAAAACATGCATAACAAAATAAAATTAAAAAAACATAATGAAAGGAAATATATTAAAAAAAAAAAAAAAAAAAACATTATGCCCCAAAAGATTTTACATTATGCCCCAAAAGGCATTTTAAAAATGTTTTGTGTGTTACCTTTATTTAATTGCCACGTACGGCAATGTATTTCATTCCAAATAAAGCTTAATATTATGTATAGAAGAATGAGATGTACTTAGTAGGGAAAAAAAAAGAAATGAATAATGGTTCTTGTGGGAAGTTTCATTATAGCAAAATGAATGGGCATCATGTTAGAATGTCCATGATTAAATATGCCTGGTTTGGAGAGAGTGCAGTTGGTAATGCCATACATGGGTATAAAAGCCATCGATGGTTTAATTTGTTTTGATGTAGATTACTTTGAAAATTTTGTCACAGACTGGATGACATTTTCCAAAGAGTTATGTGTAGGAATGTGTGTGTGTGATGATGAAAAACAGCATGATTGGAGGTTGTAGTGGGATTTTTAAGACTGACGAAAGCAAGTTTAAAAAGCTAAAATTTAACCATAACAAGATGTAAACCGTAAATGTCTGACAATTTAAAAAAAATATTTTTTGAGGTTCTGGAAAGAATTGAAGAAAACTGTTTTTCAAGTTATACAGAAAAATATAAGGCAAGGTCCTGTAAATGTCTCAGATTCTTACAAGGAAAGAAGACATTATTCATTGTCTGTGTCACATGTAAGGTGTGATAATGTGATATGTAAGGTTCTGTTCTTAGGGTTCACACAAAATTCACGGAAGGCTTGTGGATCTTCATTAAAGTTTTTTTTGCATAGAACTGGGCAGGCATGATTTAATTTCATATTGAAGCTTTGGCGATATGTGACACAGATGCAAGAGATTTAGGAGAGAAGTGAAAATAGAAATATATGTGAGTGAAAATAATGTGATTGAAGGTGCTGTTTTGATTGTTGAAATTCATGAAAGGAAGTTTGAAAACGGTGGAAATTTCATAGTGATAAGAGTGAATGGATGTTTGTTGGCACTTAAAAGGGAGGGTGATTTTTTCCTCTCTTCTTTAAAGTTATGAAGAGGAACATAAGGCAGGTTCCTGTAATTGTCTGGCATTGCTGGAAGGCATGTAATTGTCTTTCAGTCAGTCAGATCGTGCATGGAACTTACCTCGTGTGATTTTATTTGTTTTGAGGCAAAAGCATCGCAAAATATATCACACAGTGGAGAAGTTTTAGCAGAGAAGTAGGAGTCATACTGTGTGTAAATCAAAGTATGATTTTAGGTGCAGGTGTGATTGTTGAAATTCATGAAAGCAAGTATGAAAAGTGGAAATTTCAGTGTGATAAATGAGTGAATGGAGCCTGGGATGTTTGTTGGCACTAAAAGGGAGTGTGATGTTCCCCCCCCTTCTTTGAATTTATGAACAGGAACATAAAGCAGGTTGCTATAATTGTCTGATATTGCTGAAAAGCATGTAATTGTCTTTCAGTCAGTCATAGTGTGGCATTTAAAGACCCTATTTCTGGGGCTCACATAAAGTTGGTTGAGAATTTGTGGAGTTCCATTGAAAGAGCTCAGCAAAGATCTGGACATTTGTGATTTAATTTCTTTTGAGATGTCTTGGTGATGTTTGTCATGGATTGGAAGAGCTTTTGTGGAAAAGTATGTGTATGAGAATATGATTGGAGCTTCTGGTGTGATTGCTGAAACTGATAAAAGCAAAATTGGAATGTGGGAATTTGATCATGATAAAAGAATGAATAACGTTTGGAGGCATTGTGAGAAATTCTGGCTGTGTTTTTCTTTTTTGAGTTTTCTTAAATGCAAATGGCATCTTTTAGTGTCCAAAAACTTATGTTGCTTCGTTTCCATTATATTTTGAATAAATTGCTCAACTTTAAAATATTTTTCTTATTAATAACAATAAGCAGAATGTGAAAGAAATAAGGTGTGTTATACAGTTGACTCCCAATTATACTCGCTTGCTGCACAAAGTTTTTTTTTTTTTTTTTTTTTTTTTTACAAGCGTAAAGATGGAATTGGATTACGGAATCGTAGAAACAGCAGTACGTGACATTCTAAAGCAAAAAGACAATCTGGTGAACTTTGCATCAATGTTGGACAGTGCTTCCGCAATGAAAACGCGAAAAACTATGAAGAGTTGTGCCTTTGATGAGCTAGACACGGCATTGACATAGTGGTTAGCTCATGTTCGAAAAGAGGGTACTCCTGTAAATGGTCCTATCATTGCAGTAAAGGCAAAAACTTTTTTGAGTTGTTAGGCCTGAAAGGAAATTTTGATGCGTCTTCTGGCTGGTTGACTCGTTTAAGGCAGTGACGTGGAATTCGAGAAATTGGACTTCATGGGATGTAAACATGCCCATGGCAACTCTTGCAGATATGATGAAAACAGTTCCAAGTGGTGAGAACTTCGATGCTGAAAACATTAATGAGTGGTTGGAGTGTGAAGTCAACGAACCTGGCTTCGAACGCTTGACAGATGACGAAATTGTGAAGAAAGCAAGGAGAGAGACCGATAATGAAGGACAGCGAAGTGAAGGCGAAGAAGAGCCCACTGTGCAGATGCGGAAGAATCACGAAGCGGCTTTGCAACAAGTCGATGGACTGCTGAGCTATTTGGAAGAACAAGACGACGCAAAGTTGGCCGAGAAACTTATGCTACGAAAAATGCAATCTCGGATCAAGAGAAAACCCTTCCAAAGCAAGAAGCAAACACAAATGACTGATTTCTTCAAAAAGATGTAATTTTACAGTTATGCTTTGTATTAAATTTTCTGTGTATCCTTGACTCCTCTTGTAAGTATACAAAGCACTTTTCTATTTTCATTAACAAAATGCATTTTAGGTTGGTTTTGAGTGATATACTAAAATATTAAGCGTTAGTTAAACATTTCCTGCTGTTTATTTTACGTTTTTATTGTACATAAAATGATTTTTCAAAGTTGGAATGACCGTTTGCTCTTTTGCTATACCCGTTTATCTTTTTGCGGATTATCCGCCATTTTTGTTATCCGTGGCGTCCACGCCACCCAATTCCGCGGATAATCGGGAGTGTACTGTATGTGTAAAAAATGAATCATTTATATCTTTAACATTTTGCAGGGCTTTTTAGCCAAAAAAAAAAGTAAATATAAATATGCAACTGCATGAATTCACTGTGACTGCAGTTTCATGACTCATGAAATACAATATTCTTATTAGAAGGCATTTTATTATAATAAATACATGTCATAAAGTTCATG